TTTTAATGCATTTATGTATAATCAAACAAAACATAAAGAAAGAAAACATTTTTGTATGCGCTGCTCAATGTTTTAGTTCTGAAAAATATTAAATAACCATATAGAAAACTGTATATTAATAAATGGTATACAATCAATAAAATGCCTGATAAAAATAATAACATACTTAAATTCAACAACTATCATAAACAACAAGCTGTTCCGTTTGTTATATATGCTGATTTTGAAGCTATTACAGAAAAGATATCTGGTTGTCAACAAGATAATAAAAACTCATATACTGAAGCCTATCAGAAGCACACTGACTGTGGTTATGGGTATAAAGTTGTTTGTTGTTATGATGATAAATTTACTAAACAAATTCAACTATATAGAGGTGAAAAGGCTGTTTACAAATTTATGGAAGCTATGTTAAAAGAAGTTAAATATTGTAAAATATTATGAAAACCCACTTTAATAAACCATTAAAATGACCTCTGATGATGAAAAAATTTAAAAAGCTGATGAATGTCATATCTGTAACAAAAATATACTAACAAAGATATTCGAGTTCGAGACCATTGTCATATCACTGGCAAATACAGAGGCTCGGCACATCAAGATTGTAACTTAAAACTTAGAATAGACTCTGATAAATTAAAGATCCCAGTAATATTTCACAATCTACGTGGGTATGACAGTCACTTCATAATGCAAGAGATCGGAGCTATTGTTAATAAGCATACATACAAAAACAAAAAAGGTGAGGAAACGCATATGAATATAAATGCTATACCTAATAACATGGAAAAATATATGGCTTTCATGTTAGGTAACCACTTAACATTTCTTGATAGTTTTCAATTTATGAGCTCTAGTTTAGAAAAGCTTGTTAGTAACCTACCTAAAGAATCGTTTAAATACACCTCTAAGCAGTTTAAAGGTGAAAAACTTAATTTAATGACTAAAAAAGGTATATACCCATATGATTATATGGATAGCTTTGAAAAATTTGATGAGGGGTTGCCTTCAAAAAAAGACTTTTATAGTATTCTTACTAATGAAAATATCTCAGATGATTCTTATAACCATGCACAAAAAGTGTGGAATACATTCAATCTCAAAAACATGGGTGATTATCACGACCTGTATCTGAAATCAGACGTTTTATTATTAGCTGATGTATTCGAAAACTTTCGAAAAACATGTATTGAATACTATAACTTAGACCCATGTCATTATTTTACATCACCCGGGCTGTCTTGGGATGCTATGCTTAAAATGACAGATATTAAATTAGAATTAATGACAGATATTGATATGTTTCAATTCATTGAAAAGGGTATGAGGGAGGTGTTTCTTATATTTCTAATCGATATGGTAAGCTAATAACAAGTATATGGAAACATTTGATAAGAATAAACCCTCAAAATATATAATGTATCTTGACGCAAATAATTTATATGGATGGGCTATGTCACAATACCTACCTACTGGTGGTTTCAAATGGTTAACTGATAAACAGATTAACAACATAAATTTAGCCATATATAAAGAAGATAATAAAAAAGGTTTAATTTTAGAAGTTGATTTAGAATACCCTGAAGAACTACATAATTTACATAACGATTATCCATTAGCACCAGAAAAATTAAGGTAACTAGTGATATGTTGTCAAAATATTGTAAGACAATTGCTTCTAATTACAATATATCAACAGGTTTAGTTTCAAAATTAATACCTACATTACAAAATAAAGAGAAGTATGTGCTACATTATAGAAATCTTCAATTATACTTAGATCTCGGGTTAAAATTGAAAAAAGTACATAGAGTACTTGAATTTAATCAATCTCCTTGGTTGAAAAAATACATAGACTTTAATACTCAAAAAAGAACTATTGCAAAAAATTCTTTTGAAAAAGACTTCTTCAAATTAATGAATAATTCGGTGTTTGGGAAAACAATGGAAAACTTACGAAAAAGAGTAGATGTCAAACTAGTAACTAATAAAAATAAATTATTAAAATTAGCTTCAAAACCTACTTATGTAAGTAGTAAAATATTCAATGAGAACCTTGTGGCTGTGCATAAGATTAAAGAAACACTAACCCTTAACAGACCTGCATATGTGGGTATGTGTATATTAGATTTGAGTAAAACGTTGATGTATGATTTTCATTACAATTATATCAAAAAGCGGTATGGTGATAAAGCTAAATTATTATTCACTGATACCGATTCTCTCTGTTATGAAATAGAAACTGAAGATGCTTATAAAGATTTTTGGGCTGATAAAGATAAATTTGATTTTAGTGATTACCCAGAATACCATAAATATCATGATAAAACTAATAAAAAAGTTATTGGTAAAATGAAAGATGAAGCTGCTGGAAATATAATTAAAGAGTTTGTTGGACTTCGATCTAAAATGTATAGTTATATTAAAGATAATAATAAAGGAGATAAAAAAGCTAAAGGAATTAAGAAAAATATTATTAAAAACAAAATAAAACATGAAGACTATAAACAAACACTATTTGAAAAGAAACAAATACATCATACAATGAAAACTATCAGAAGTGTAAACCATCAACTTAGTAGTTATGAAATTAATAAAGTATCACTTAGCTGTTTTGATGATAAACGGTATATATTAGCTAATGGATGTAAAAGTTATGCTTATGGTCATTATCTTATCAATTCAAATAACTAAATATTAACAAACAGTTATAATGTGTAGTAAGCATGTAGCGTGGGCCTCTGTTAGAGTAATATCATACATACCTGCTCCTCATGTTTGACTACATATCACATAACTGTTTGTAATAAGTAATTAATACAAAAGCGATATACAAAAAGATTCAAAATCCTGAAACAATTAGTAAAAACACTTTTAACAAAAATTATATAAAACATTGTTAAACATGTACATGTGACACACGCTTGACAGACAAATTAAAAAAAACATATAGATTCCATAGTTTTGTAAAACATTGTATTATTATACATGCGCTGATGAAATGTGCTATCTACATTAAACAACCATTGTTAAAAACATGCACTAAGACACGCGCGCCGCTACAAAACCAGCTATATTTTACCCACTGTGGCGATTTAGCTTCGCTAAATTAACATAGTCCTGGCAGGGTCTTGTTAACACTTGATTTTTGAAGAGCATTTTTTAAGCCTCTGTTATTCTCGAATATTCTTCGAATATTCTTCGAATGTAAGGGGGCGCTCCGAATTTTCACTTCGTGAAAATTTTACCCACCGTCGCTTAGAATTCTCGGCGACCCCATCCCCCTGCTCGAGCACTTCGTGCTCTGTGCTGCCGGATCGCCTCCGAAACAATGCTTTCTTAACATTTATTTCTAAAGATAGTTTTTAAAAACATATAGATTCCATAGTTTTAAACGATAGATTGTAACCTCGAGATTTTTACCCTTTGAAACAATGACTATTTTTTACACAGCTTTTTTACATGACCTTTTACTGAGGGACGCCTTTTAATCCATGGTCTTATTTTACGCTGTTATAAAGATAGTTTTTACCCAAGGTTATATGTAGTATAGTACATGGGGCGTATGGAATAAAAAAAAGTAAACTTTTTTTGATTCCCTACCCCCATGTACTATACTACTGATGTCGAAGAAAACGGAACTCTTCCTTTTCTCGACTGTTTGGTAAAACATGACAATCAAAAACTACGAACAACAGTTTATCGCAAGCCAACACATACTGACCGACTACTAGACGAATCATCTTACAACCCTACATCACACAAAGCCACCACAATCAGAACATTAACAAGACGTGCACAAATCATATGTGATTCACCGGACGCTCTACACAACGAAAACAACTATCTCAAACGTGTTTTTGACAAAAACAACTATAACTCTGACTTTATCAAACGCAACACATACAAACTCAACGAAACGAACAATTCAGTGACAACAGCAACGATACCTTGCATCAAAGGTACGTCTGAGACTATCTCGCGTATCATACGACCATACAACATACGTGTCGCATATAAACCAATCACAAAGTTACGACAAGTACTAACGAACAGAAAGGACATAGAACAACCCAACGAACGACAAGGTGCAGTTTACAAAATAAACTGCTCCGACTTTCACGCCTCATATATCGGAAATTAAACATAAGACTTACTGAACACAAACGAGCTACTAAGAAACAAGACAAAACTAATCACATTGCCGAACATCACCGAATCACTAAGCACAACATTGACTGGGACTCGGCAAAATGCATTACTTACAGTACTGACTATAGACAACGGCTTACATTAGAAAGTTGATATACCAACTTGGAACAAACCCCCCTGAACAGATCACAGCAATTACCGGCACCTTACAAACGACTTATTCACAATACAAACAAACGATTAACTAAAAACATTACACTTCACACTAATTCACAATGACAATACACATTTCCTGTACACACAATACAATGACGTAAGAACCAGATAACAAATACCGCTAACCTGACGTTTACTACTCATTTGACTCTGAAGATGACTACCGCTAAGGTTGTCGAAACGTCAGTCAACAACAACAAAAACAGTCCTTCTCTGGACTATACCAATCTGGACGATCTACATTTACAAACATGTAACGATACTCCCGGAATTGTATCGTGGATTCATGTTTTATTGAATTCTGTATAAAATAATGTGTACTACTAGAACCTGTACAGGGAATTTGCTAAATTGTGTTTATAAAACCTTTAGTTAATGAACTACATTATAACATAGATTCATTGGAAAACTGTAGTTCATGGAAAACTATAGTTTTGAAAACTGTAGTGTTTGGGAACAAAACTATCAATTGTAAAACTACAGTTCTCCCAAAACTTTAGTTTCTATAACTCTAGTATCCCCAAAACTATAGTCCCGAAAACTATAGTTTATTCATACAACTATGGTTTTCGGAACTACAGTTTTTGTTCCAAAATACTGCAGTTTTCAAAACTATAGTTTATTTTTGTAAGGGTTGAACCAACTTTTTGCAAGTACCTTTAAAGCATATGTTGGCCATGGACAAAGAACTGATAATGTTGATAATGGTTGTGAAAATGGTGATGTTCCCGGCGATAGAGAAGTGTTGTAAATAATGATGGTGATGATGATGGTAATTCTGGGAATGTATTTTGTGCACGAGACGGAACAGTTAATGAAGGTGACGGACACCTTGTAACAGAAAACGCCGTGCCTAAAAAAGTTGATAAAGAACGCAGGAAGGGAAGAAGTAACAACAAAAGAAAAAGAAAAGAGGCAAAGTCCAGTGACAGAAAAAGTGTGTCTTTTGCAAAGAAGAGAGCTAGTCATTTGACATCCTATGACAAATGTAAAGCCTTTCTTTGTCAAGAACCATCTTCCAAAGATAATGGAATGGTGGATTGGGTGTTATGTGATGTTTGTCAACAATGGTACCATTGGGATTGCGTTGGGATTACGACAAAGCCGAAAGGAAAATTTGATTGCGGATACAATGTATCTTACTTTACTCATGGGTAAATTATACATCCACTTTTTCTAAACTACGAACTGTTAGTCTGTTCATTTTTGTGCATCACTGATTTATTTGCATACGTATTCATAACAGTTATTAATACGTTCTTCGTGCTCTTGAATGCTTTATTTCTAAAATGTGAGTTTCTTGAACACACACGAATAAATATATTTCATTTCTTTTAATTTTTCTTTGACAGATCTGCGAAAACATTTGACATAAATATAAAGGGAAATCGCTCATTCAGAGGATTAAATGTTCTGCTAGAATTTAAATTATTTAATATCAGTTACAGATAAACATACCTATAATATTTTAACATTAAATTTTAGACACATTTAACAAAAATCGTCAACGGTGCCATACCAAGTTAACGCCACAGGTTATTTAAGCAAATGATCCGTGGGCGAAATCAAGCTCAGACTGAACTCACAGATCTCTACATGGCGTGTCCTTTAACTCGAACTCAAGAATGAAAACATATTCTCTGTTAGAAATAGAGCCCCACTAGTGTCTTAACTCTTCATTTTGTATATATAGGCAAAAGATCTGTTGAATGTAGTCAAAGAAATAGTCACAGATATTTTTCAATCCTTTGATGAAACAAATTCAATGAACATCAACTACATGTATAACGTTTTATTCCCTGAGGTTTGTTTGTCTAACGCCAAATTCCAAGTCGTTCTTTTGTTGTGAAAGCTATGTGACAGTGAAACTATGATATTTTATTTAAGCCTGCATATATTGTATACGAAAAACTGAGCGTTGTCTCCGAAATAACTCTGAAAAAATTTATAATTGTGCGAGTGGAGTTCAAGACGTTGCAGACTTTGAAAGTGACTAACCTTGTTGTCTACCGAAGTACCTGAAAGCTGTAGTGGATATTGTAAAAATTTGAGGTGACTTGACAATGTATCATACTGATTTACTCTTATGACTCAATGTCGTCTAAACATACTATTGACGATGAACTAGCGTTGTTTTTAGTTTAGGTTTACTGAATAAGATTTTCTTTTTAGCTAAGTTCTATTACTTTTTAAAAAAATAATGAATTCTTGTACAGGAAACAATTATACTTCAATTTTGTCTATAGTTAAAATGAAAGATGCTTTTAGTTGCAACTACAAGACGTAGAAAAAAAATATGTCAAACAGAGTCAAGTTAACGATTAATTGAACTGGTGACTAAGTTGGGCCAATTTATAGATATATTTCATATCAAAGTTAGTTATAAATCAAAATAGTTACCTCCATGCAACGCTATAAACTACATTAGCTATTTAGCTAACATAACAGTTGTTACTTATGTGTTTTGATGAACAAAAAGTGTTTATTAAAAAACCTCCACTTTTTCATAAATTTTATTATCCAGCGTACGTACGTTAGAAGGCTATTACACATGATTTCTTAACAACTTTTCAAGTGCCCTTTACGTAAATTGATTTTCTAATTGAAGGATCTTCAAGAGCTTGAAGTGACTGCACAACTCTGTTATACATTATCGCTGGTTCTTTCATAGTAGTGTGTAAAAATATCGCTTCAACATATTCAACATAAAGTACTTTTCATGGTTAATAAAACTATTCAAAAAGTCAGTAATCTTGCCGTGCTGCTGAAAGTAGTGACCCACGTATTTTCCATTTCTGTCTTTAACAGGATTTGCTCTTCCTGGGATCGGTCAAGCAAATGGCATAAATCTATAGCCTTCCGTTTAAAAGTAAATGAAACTGAAAATCTTCATCAGTAGGTGCAGCTAGATATTCACACCAAAATCATTGTCAGGATCTTTGACAGCATCAAATGTTAATGCGGTATGTGAATGATTAAAATGTGATTCTTTTTCCTCGTTATAAGCTGCGATATCTTTATTGACATCCTTTGTTACTCAAGTAATTTGCTTCGAAAGTCTGGATGCCAACGCTTGACCATCTAAAAAACAGAACAAACATACAGAAACATTTACAAACATACAGAGAACATTACAAAGAAGGGAACATGTAAAGTAATTTACAAACATTGCAAGTGGTATGGAACATTTATGAGATACGTATAGTTACCACAGTATTTAGACTTAAGATTTAGGAGAAACCATCTTTCAACAACATTTTTCCTCATTCGAGACAAAACACGTTTTTCTTTCCTAGACGCAACCTCGCGTTTTGCATTTTCGTACTCTGAGTCAGTATTTTGCCAGCGTGCAGAAATTGAGTTTTCCCTTTCCATGATCTTCAACTACTCCTCAATTCTAAACAGTAAATACCAAATCATTACAAATATAAGGCACGGTCTGACAAGCACATGCAAGTTGCATATACATCTCTACTTGTACGTACGTATAAAAACAAAAATAATTTTTATTCGATATTCCAACTTATTATTCACAATGTTACGACGTACATTCATAGCTTCAAAATTTCCCAGTTCATTTTTCTAAATTCACACTGTTTAAGACTTTAATATCTCTAGAAACAAGTTGAACTTTTTGAACATACTTTTCATCTGATTAAATCGAACAGTCAGTTCACTTGGATCAGTGCAACCATTCCATCGATGGTAAAGATCAGCGTACAAGACCAGGTATATAACGTACTTGCATTTCCAATCTTCTTCTTCTGTAAGTTGTTGAAGATTTACGTATATTTGTTAAAAAAGTTTTCTGTGCGTAAAACATTTTCACATAATGAGCAATAATTATGTGTCAAATCTGTTCCTTAGCTACAAGCCATTATTTCTCATTTACTAACCAGTCTCAACTTCACGACCAAAAAAAGTCGATTCGTCCTTCATCCACTCACGAATATCATCTATTGAAATCCTGTGAGCTTTAGATAATGAAAAAAAGAAAATTTACTGCTTTCATGTGAGTCGTAAATAGTTCATATCCAAAATCGGAGTCAACTATAATCACACAGCAAATACAAACATATACTCACATGGAAAGCACCTGCATAACTTTTCAATATCTAATTTTGCAGTTTCTTTCACGTCAACAGCTCGCTTCATCCTTGCCATCAGCAAATTGCCACAAAAAACAAAATTTAATTCATACCTGCTATTACATAATATGATGACATGTTAGCTATGTATATGTTCAAACAAAGAAAGAAAAACTAGCTATACCTAAATTAATCTTCGTTTTCTTTCCATAATGTAAAAGAGCATAAACTGAGTACATCAACTCTGTGACTTGGACGTATTTCTTTAGTCATTCTGCTAAATTTGCGAATGTAAGCCCACAATCTCTCCAACATCTCACCGTCAGTTAGGCCAAATCCTTCTTCCCGTCGGGGACTAAATTTAACCTTTTACAAGAAAGATTTAGTAAACAATTATTGAATTTTCATCATTTATCATCTACAATACCATTAGTTATGACAGCATAAAAACCCAGGTATCAATATCTGTTTATACGTATGAAAATAAAACAACAACTAACGTCCAATCGCCCAACAGTGAAAAATTGGAATTGAAAATTGAAAATGTCAACAATCGGATCCTCCAAATTCTTTTGTAACAAACAAAATAAAGAAAAACATGTGAAAGACTACCTTTTCAAAGAAAAAAGTGTTGAGGGAAAGTTATTGACTAAGGAAACAGTTAACAAAGCAACTATTGTCAATTGAATATTACCTGTAAGTGTTTCACCAACATGCATGCAACATCATACAATATGTTTATTTTGAGTGCAGGATTATCAGCATTATCTTTCTCTAATTTTGGAGAACATAAACTGCATAGCTCAATCTATAAAATATGTAGAATATTTTTAAATAATGCAACCACATGTATGCAAAAGCTTCAGCACTTGCACAAAGCATTGAAAGTAGCAAACCAACTGAAAAAATAAATTTACACCATCAAATGCATGCATCCTAACCACCTCTTTCAAACCAAGAACATTTAGGTAAAAATAGACAAAATGTGTGTAACAGACCTATCTCCATGTTTCAAATTTAAGAATTTTTTAGGAAATTCATGTCAACAGCCTCGTCCATAGATTGCTGTTTCATCAAGAGCTTTGTAGTGACTCATTGATCAAACAGCATTCCCAGCAAGAAAACCATGACATTCTTATAAATATCAATATGTAACAAACAAAAGTATACAAGAGTTTTATTTCCTAAAGCCCATGGCAAAATTTATTGAAAATAAAAACTATGTGGTAGAAAATGAAAAAATCAAATAATAATATGATGAAGGATAAAATCATGCAATGTATTTGAGTTCAATGATGCAGTCAAAAAGGTGTTTGAGATAGCATTGCTAATGTTCTTTTTCCTAATTTTTCTTGTTAAACAAGTAATACGAATATACTCACTTTGGTACAAGCAGGACAGATATTTCCTTCATCAAGCTCAGGAATAACACAGCTCAACATGTTTAGTTTATGTCTGTAAATTCTGAAAAAAGCAATGACACAAAGAAAGCAATTATGCACTCTTAAACAAATGACATAAACAAAATACAGTGCAATATAATAATACTTGAGGAAAAATTCTTTCCCATCATAAACTTTAGCATTTTGATTTTCTCCAATTAAATACATCTCTTAAGATGAGATTCTTAGGCTATAAAACTTTCTACTAGACTACTGCAACTCTTAGACTACTGCAACTTTCCCAGCAATTCATACCTAGTACAGCAGTGTAATAAATCAGTGAACTACATGCAGTTACCTATATTCTTCAAAAGCATCTATAATGACAGGATACCTTTTTGGTGTTGCATAAGAAGGGAATATGTGGTTATGATTGGAACACAATAACTTTGTTCTTGTTCCAATACCATGATATTTCAATGTCGATCAGAACATTAAAGCGAAGGCTTCAGTCATACGGCTTGCAAAAAGTGGACCAAGCTGTCTCAGAAGACACCGTTCGGCAAATCATTGAGAACGAAATTAAGGGATCATCATCGACTCTTGGTTACAGGGTATGTGGAATAAGTTAAGAACAAGTTACAATATAAAGTTCCTCGAGACACAGTTATGAGAATCCTAAAAGACGTCGACCCAGAAGCATCGGCACTCCGTAAAGCTAGAAAGTTGCTTCCGCGAACTTACGTATCTGATGGACCAAATGCTACCTGGCATGTAGATGGATACTGAAGCTGAATAAATTCACGGTTGTGTTGAAAGTTTGCGAAAAGCAAAAAATAACAATCCAGTTATTCCAGCTAATTTTTTACGGTCAGTGGAGGAATTTAAGTTTCGCTCCATCCTAGTACAGACAGATTGAGGAACAGAGAATACTATTTTGGCAGCGATGCAATGTAGCCTTGTTGGTGGTGAGCAAGGGCATCGTTATTCATCATCTCATGCTAATCAATGGATTGAGAACTGGTGGTCTCACTGTAGAAAAGGATTTTCTGGATGGGTTATCAATCATTTTAAACATCTTGTTCATGAAAGAAAGCTTGCATTGGGAAATCACTTGCAGATGGAATGTATTTGGTTTGTTTATTCAGAGTTTTTACAGTCAAAACTTAACAAGGTAAAGCAACAATGGAACACACATTGCATACGGCATTTCAGAGACACCTTGATTTCGGGTGTACCTGATGATCTTTTTTTTCTTCCTGAAAGCACTGGACATAGGAACTGCACAATCACTGTTTCTGATAACAATGTTTGTGGTATATTGAACCAGAGAGATGTATACACAGAATGAGAATTGGAAATGGATGAAAATGATATAGAATTGATGGATTACTTCAGGTATGTTGTCAGATAAGAAAACTTAGACACAACTCATCTTAGCATCTCATCTTAACACAACTTCTCATTAAAAGTGGCTTCCGGGTGTTTTTTTCCAAGAGGTTCTTTTGTATAAACTTAAAAATCAAATTTTATGTAATCAACTCTGCAAAACAAATTTATCTATTGTTGAGCTGCAATTTAATTTTATGAAAAACTTCTCAAAGCACACTTCAAGCACAACTTAACAAACATTGTTGGTTCTTCCAAATCAGTCAAATAACCAGACATTCTGTACTAAAGATATGTAAGCATAGCAGTAGAAAAAACACCCAGTTAGCTACAATAAGTAACATAAAAAACTATGATTAACTTATCTGCCTTGTTTCATTACAAAGTAGAGTGTCTTTTTGTTTGACATAATGTCTGTTAACATCTAACAAATTCTATTGAGGAGGGATAGTACAAGCACCAACAGAGAATGTGGTGGATTCTCAGTGAGATTGTAGAAGGATTAGTTCACGTTCATTCATAGGTAGGGAAAAATGTTAACAATTTTCGTTTAGCTCAATAGATATGTATAAGGACTTATTATTTGCTATTTTTATTGAATTTTGCCAATAGGGTATTATGATTCAAGTAAACCTTTTTGGACATTTTTGGGTTTGCTTGAAAACTGCCACTCAAGGCTTCCACTTGAAAATATGAAGATCATAAGAAAAAACAAGCATTAAAGTGACGAAGAATTTATAGCTACTGTTTTTTAATGTCATATACTTTGTATAGATGTCTATATCCGGAGAACGGTAACCAATGCTTGGCACAGCAGCTTCTTGGACATCGTTTTATCTCTCCAAATCCCATGTCGTACGGTTTAGCAAATAACATCACTTCAGATAAGCTTGACGCTGAAAAAGATCAAGGGAGAAATCAAAATAGCTGTTATGATGGAGATGAGTATCCTTATTTGATGCCTATTCCTTTCGGCTACGCTGCGAGAAATGCAAGAGTTCGAAATGAATTTGAGGTGTTGCAAATGCTTAAAAAAAGGAGGGTTTGCTTCAGTTGTCAAGGTAACTTTTTATTACATACAACATCGTTTAAATAGATGGTAATTTGGTCACGTGAAGGAAATTTTGTACGTGATTTAGAAATGCTTTATATACGCTTAGGTACGTAATGAATTGGACGGCTGTCTCTATGCGATCAAAAGAATTGCTTTGATTCCGAAAAGTGTGCTGTTTAATCGCAAAATTACTCGAGGAGAGAAGTTACTTTCTAGATTGAATCATGAAAATATTATAAGGTAAAAAAAAATTTAGTATCCAAAATGATTCGAAATTTTATAACATAATGGTTCAAAGCGAGGCTCAATTTAGACGATACAAATTGCTTGGCTTATTAAATGTTATCTTTGTAGACACTATTATAACAAAGTACATAATCCTTTTTTTCCGTGAAGCCCATGGATGCGTTCGTTCATGATGAAAGAGTCATATTGTATAAGAAGGCTCTCGTTCATCACGAGAGAGTTATGAGAAAGTTACATTGCAAAAGGTAATGAGTAAAAAACGTATAAACATGCTTAGAGTTGGTTTAAATTATAAGTGAAAAAGGCAGAAGTTGTTTGAACATGTGCAGTATCCTTGGATGTTCTAGTTTCTTTTATGAGAAGAGTTCTTGTAAAGAAAAAAAGACAAATTTTGGAAACAAAAAATCCCGTTTTTGGTCCATGTTTCCGGAGACCCCGAGATAGTTTAGCACTAGAGCGTCTCATATTAATTAAGGAAACCAGATAATTCTGTCTGCTACAAAGTCGATGGATGGTTTGCTTGTGATACTTAAGAAACAGTAAATGAGAGAGTTAAATCAGAAAAATATAAACCAATAAAAATTTTATGAAACATGTTTAATGTTGTCCTAAATTATAAGTGTCAGAAAAAGGCACAGTGTCAACATTGCTTGGTTTATTTTATGAGAAGAACTCTTGTTAAAAGAAGAAAAAGATAAAATTCGAAAGCAAAAAACCCCGTTTTCGGTCCATGCTTCCCGATACCCTCTTAAGCGTAAGGTACTAGAACGCCGCATGTTAACGTTTCGGTTGGAGGTTTCGGCCCCTCCACACTATCCTACTTGGGGATGCCAATACGTAGCAAGCTTCCGCCCATCAGACCCCGAGATCGCCTGCGATAGGCTTTGCTCTGGTTACGCAGGGAGAGTGCGGTCGCGACCGAAGTCTGGGCCCCTAAGCCACTGCATACCTAATCGCACCCAACTTCCACTGCTAGTTGACATCTACTAGTTGAAGTTTCAGCTTTATATATATATACAAAAATTCAAAGGTTTGCAAAAGTTGTGGTATCATTAAAGTCACTACTGCGCATGCCCAGATTATTTCTTTCATAATTTGCGACTAAGTTATCTAATTGCCGCAAATGTAGTGCAAGTACATATAGTTAGTCATTGCCATGGCTATGAACAATTAGTCGAATGGACTACGCATGCTAGAGCGCATGCCCAGATGATTTCCATATTAAATTGTTACTAAGCATGCTGTTTACTTAAAAATCGGTGCTAGAAGATGCAGTTGGTCGTTGCTATGACCATGAACTTGGACAACTGGTCAAGTGGACTGCGCATGCGCAGAAAATTTTTCAGTAAATTTGGAACTGAACGAGCTAATTACTCTACAATCGGTATTATTACATACAGTTGGTCGTTGCCATGACCATGAACTCGGAGCATTAATGCAGTTGACTGCGCATGCTCAGATTAATTCTCAATTAAATTTGTAATGAAGCGAGCTCTTAAAATTATCGTCAAAATATTCTTTATAAACTTTAACCAACAGAATTTATTGCTATGGTATTTTAAATCTATGATGAGGTGCTATAATGTATTCTGACTTAACCTTGATCTCCCTCTGTGAAAAAAGTATCAAATTTTTGTTGTTTATTAACACATTTTCTTTTTTAATTTAGGTTCATAAAACCATCTTTTATTGCTACAAACACTTTATCTGACATCATTGAGAAATGGCAAACTTGTGATTCAAATATGGACAACTTTGTGTAAAGCTTAAGGTACCAAACACTTGTCTTTCATATCTGTGCATGCAAAGCAAAAAAAAGACTTTCTTTGGTGAACGTGTTTGAATTGCACTTTGTTTTAATACTGATGTGTGTTACATGTTTGACTTAAACAATTTTAACAACTTACAAGACATTTTAAGTCCAATAACTATGTATTTTTCCTGTTAAGATATACGATTTGTCTTATCAGAATATGCTATAAAGATATTAAACTGTCCGAGGTGCCTTAGAATTTGTCAATAATTTTCTGTACGTTAGATAATGCTATCGAACAAACTGAAAAATCATCTAAATATAGAACATTTGAGAAATATGTCTTACGAAAGCACAAGCAATATTACTGAAATTTCTAAACTGTCAACGGCGGTACTGTCGAAACATCGAATTTATGTGGATGGCTGTTTATCAGGAAATGTTTCGAGCTGTTACCGATGGTTTTTACATACACGCACCTATAAGATCCTCGCTATATTTAGTCAGTTTATATATTGAATTAATCAAAAATAAAACGTAGCCTAGCGTTTGTGAGTAATTCGTAGCTAAGATGTGATTTGCATGATTTCCGAAATATTTTCTTGGAGAAAGATAACAAACTTAACAGACATGATAGTAATATATCTGCGCTTGCCCAGATACAAAAGCACAACGGAAGAAAGCATGCATATGTCACGTCATTCATGTCACGTGTCTAAAGATATGAATATTACAACTAATCAATTTCTTTTAGCACTTCCACTTAATAGTCATCATTTCAATAAAATTAACACATCATTATAATACAAACTGAAATTCTATGATTGTTTTTTTACTTTAACTACTCCCAATAGCTTATGAAAGTTTTAAAATTAAAATCGAGAGTCTTTTGGTCTTTGTATCACCAGGATATTCTTTGTTCATCAATACTTGACAGTAATGATGTTATTTTTGACTTGTTCTCCCACATAATGATTTAACATATTATTTGTTTATAAGATTTCTGGTGAGCTTTATTGTATTGTTCATTCGTTGACTTCACGTAAAGTAGTAAAGCAATCTTGTTTTTTCAGAACATTGCCAAGTAGTCTTCGTTGCCTAACTACTTCTTGACTATCTATTATTCATTCGTTGTCTTCATGTAAAGTAGTGAAACAATCTTGTTTTTTTTTTGTTTTTTTAAAACATTGCCAAGTAGTCTTCGTTGCCTTACTACTTCTTGACTGGCTGTGCTTATACTCTACTATATACTCTGCTTGAGTTGTTGATCTAGCTACACTTGCTTCTCGTTTACTACTTTAACAAACTATACTTGAATCGTTAGTGGAACATGGAAGAGTATACTCTAACGTTCCTTCAAGATAACGTAGTACTCGTTTTACTCCATTTGGATGCTTAACTCCAGGATTTGACATAAACTTAGGTAAGCAAAAGTTGATAAATATTTTCTGATAATTCTTGCAGGATAAGTTAAAAAAAAAACAATAGCTCTTTCAATATGTTTTCTTATCGAATGGTTCATCGCCTTTTGATCGTTTTTCGTATTTCTTACCTAGTTCCAATGGGATGGAAACTAGCTTGCAATTTTCCATACCAAATTTCTTTAGCACTCCTTCCAAGTATTTCCTTTGAGTTATGGACATTGTACGTAAATGACGGTTTCATTTAATACTCATTCCTAGGTTGTGATGTTTCTCACCCAAGTCTTCAACTTAGCAACTCTGTATTGTTGGAAAAGAATGGCCATACCTTCCACTTTACCTGTATTTACCAATTTATAAATGTTTTCTCTTCTTAAGTGTGCAAACCTCTAATGCCATAATTCTAAAGTCAGATGTTCTTTTGCAGCATGCGCTTTCTCTTTTTGAATGACTTTATATAGTTTTCCATACACCTCACAAACTCCCAATAATCTAGAATTCTTGGAGATCTTGTATTCGTTTTTAAACATTACAGTTTCAGCAAATTTAGACATAGCTTGAACAGACAGCAAATTTTTCTTCAGCTCGGGCAGATAGAGTACGTTTTTTAGGGCGTTAATGTGAGCCATATAAATGAACGGTCAAACGATGAGTTTGTTTTCCTTAAGACAATATGACACAATTATCCCGAAGATTTACTTTCTTTGGCTTTCATAACTCTTCATAATCTGATAAATTGTCACGTTTGCATATGTTGATTCGCACAATAATTGATTATCTAATCATATCTATTTTCATTTCTTTTGTGAGTAACGCTACCTCATCAGTGCTTTCTTTATCATTTTCATTTTCTTTGGCACAATATGTTGACCTCTCTCCTTTATTGTGGAATTTACTACTTAAATCGTTCTTTCTTTTGGGACAATCTCGTGCAAAATGTTCTCTTTTCTTACATGAGCAACAAACTTCTTGAAAAGAATGCTGGTGTTCATTTTCTTTCCTACTGTAATCTTCTTTCTTTTCTTTTCTCCTGAATTATCAGTGAGCAGCATGCGCCCCTTCATCTTTCTTTGTACCTAACATTTTATTTTACAAAATTAAGCAACAGTCCTTTACCTTTTTGATAAATTTAAGATTCCTTTCCAATCGCATCGAAAGCTGTGATCAGCGGCTTGTATTCTCCTGGCAAACTTGCAAGTAAAGTCATTGCCAATTGGCGATCGTTGTTTTTATATCCCATTTCTTTTAGTTGATCGTGGAGGAATTTCAATTCGCTGATATGGTCGAGTATGTTTTCACTTTTAAACTGGTGCGATTAATATTGCTGGTGTAGTCGAATGAACTGTGAAATAGAAGTTTTGGCGAACTGATTTCTTAAAATATCCCATGCTTCTTTTTGTTGTTGCTATGCTGATCTATTTCGGCCCTTAAACAAATGAACAAACTTTCTTCGAAGCAATTCGCTTCACCTGATCAGACGCGTCTTTGGGTGAAATTTTAACTGATCCATCCGCATGATCAAACAAAGCCACTGTTGTATATTAGTAGTTTAAGTTTATTTATAGATCAGAGTAGCTCTTAGCATTGGTTGAGCTCCCCAATAACTTTTGTTTTATAAGTGGATCCTTTAGCAATAAAAACATTATTATAATAATGTCACCCATAACGTATATGACAGCCACATTTTCCAGATACAAACGCGTGTTGAATGCCCAACATGTATATTTTTTCCCATTCAACTTCTGTATTTATATGAAAACCGTCGACATGTCCATACTTAATCTTACGATAATTTAACAAATTATTTTAAAATAGTATACGCTTCGATATACATATAAAAAGGCTCCAAACACGCTTTTAATCAGACGGTTAGTATAGATAAGCTGATTTTGGGGTGATTTATTCAAAAATTAATCACATTAGGAACAATGAAACTGGCATTCCCTGATTTTCCTATCAATCTGACCATGAATAACTTCATCAATAAAGACAATCAAATAATTCCAGAGATCAGGTGATATACATGAAGATGAAAACACCTCCTGCAGTAGCTATCACTACGTTCTTACTCAAGTAGTTTGGCATGCAAGCAATTGTCAAAAAACGGAACATGATTTTGCCAAATAACTTTGGAAACTTTCTATGGTTGTCTTGATTCAAACAAGATCCGGATTCATCATCTCCTCTGAATGCTAGCTCCCTTTTAGACAAGATAGTGACATTATTTTCACCACTGTTCTGGCTTTCATTCTCATTATGTTTCCTCCTAGCCTATTCTTGTTCTTTAAATAAATTTTCTACATTCACTCTGGTTAACATCTCTGTCTATCGTGTACAACATTTTGTAAATTTGAAAAAAGTAATTTCAATTTCTATGTTATTGGAAACCGTCCAACAATTGATGTTTTTTACGAAATCAATGTTTGCCCAAGTTTTTGATTTAGATGAAACAGAAAGTAGGGCCAGCAAGCAACCGTTGTCTTTTCACTCTAGCACACAACCAGTCTTTCTTTTATTATCAAGACGGTTAGAAGTTGCTACCTCTCGTTTTCAGTCTGACCATTCCAAATCATTACAGAGCAAAGATTTCGTTTCAACTAAAACTAAGGGCCTGTTTATATGGCTCGCCAAGCCGGGTAACTCGGCCCTTATATAGAATGAATGCATTTCCGGTGAATCGTTTATATGATACATCCGAGTAACTCGCCTTGCCGGGCAACTCGGTTTGTGTAAACGAGTTACCCGGCTAGGCAGGATGAATTTTCCATATAAACGCATTTGCCGAGTAACTCGGCTGAGACGAGAAAATTGACTCTGTTGGTACGCATGCGTACTAAGCCTTTTACTTGCAGCATTATTATACAAAAACATACACATATCATAATTTTCAATTCTATATTCACCTATTCCATTTTGCTGCGAAACTGTGAGGCTTTATAAAATCTCGCGCCTTTACTCGAACTTAACATAGCCAAACTTCATTTAAGAAAATTGAACGGAAGTACTAGCCGAGTTATCCGGTGCCATATAAACAGATCACTTTTTTAAACCCGGTGGAGCGAGTAACTCGCCTAGCCAGGTAACTCGGCTCCATATAAACAGGCCCTAAATGAACTATTTAAATACATATAATTATATTATACGAAGACATTTTACCGCTACAAACCAATCTTTAAGCCAATGTAAAACACGGTTATGTGCTTTCCAAACCATTTGTCATTTGTTACTAGTTGTTACAAAACAAGTACAGTCCAAAAGTCGTTTCTAAATAGGTGCACTAGACTCAAGACTGCATTACTAAACAATTTAAATGTATGGCAACAAGATCAGCCTTAGTCAATTCAAGGAAAAGCTATGAGTATGTTATAAATTATCCTTAGAAACCATACATGATGACATTGACGGTTCAAGAACATGGAAAACTATATTTCTATCTTGTGACAAGACACGTCAACTGTCCAGTGGAATATTGTGTTGTTTTTAATGTTTGTGACATCATGTTGGCCTCCAAAAGCTGTAGTATGTTTCCTTTCATTTAGTTATGTATGTGTTGTATTCATAGCAAGTTGAATAAATAAATAAATAAAAAGTAAATAATATTGATTTCGTTATGTAAATTCTCAACTTTAATTAAGAAATAAAAGATGTTAACTGTGTTTGCACAGGCTAATGCAAACCGAGAAGACCTTTGGGAGTACTCGAGAGCAGATCAGTGCAAGCCCGAGACCGAAGGTCTGGGGTTGCACCTGCTCGAGAGTTCTCAAAACGTTTTGTAATGAAGTGTAACTAAATAATAAAAATTTCTGAACTTACTCCTAGTACTGCGTTTGTACAG